TATATGCTTATACTCACTGGCTATCAAATGGCATAGCATTCTCGTTTGATATTTGAAACTTCTTTCACTGCAACATTCATTGAACAAATGAGTTCTGTTCTGGAATCCAAAACCTGCATCTTTGAAATCGATGAATTTTCCACAGTGAACTCTTCAAGTTGAAATTGGCACCTACCCAGGTGACGAAAATCAACGGCTTTCGTTCAAACTTGATTAGCTTTGGAGGTTTCTCTTTCTACTCACGAACAATAAAAATTTTTTGTTTCAACAAATTTCAGTTCATTTCAGCTTGGAGTCATAGTGGGCTGGTTATTTATGGAACGGGGAACGAAGAACTGATACACAAAGAACAGGGCAACTCTTTTAAAAAATTTTGCTCACGTTGTTAAATTTTTGTTACTGGGAACGGATCGGTTTTGACGTTATCTAGAGTATTTAAACTGGTGATGTGAATACGAGAGTGCATAAACAGTGTAGTTTTGGCCAGTTTCTTTGAAAAGTCAAAAACTCTTTGTGGCCATAATTTTGGTTCTATCAGGTCATCTAAGTAGAGGAATTCTGCAGAAAATATTTTTTTATTTTGAATTAAAGATTTATTTAATTGGAATTTTGAAAAGTACGCTAGATTGAGGAAGTGCATTGCCTAGAAAGATCAAGAATTATTCAGTTTTATAAAGAATGAAGTAGATAAAATTTCTTCAAAATTGTTCATGTGTATTTTGTTCATCACCTGAAAGGACGACAATTATCAGCCAAAGGAGGGGTGTTAGCCGAAATCTCTGCATTTAGATATACCAAAGCCAAACCATTAACTGCCACAGTTATAGGGGAATTTGATATTTTCAGTTGGGCACAATGTGCTTCGATTTAAAGTTGCTTTAATGAATTACAAGTATTTTGAAAGTTGTTTTTTTTCTCTTGCTAGAAGTTTGTTGAGTAATAATGGCTAAAAAAGTGTCGGTTCCATTTTTTTACGGCAGCTAGAGTGTAAGGTAAGTCGTACGATATGGTCGATGTCTATACTGCTTTTTTAGGTTTCTCAAGAAAAGAAGAATGAACTGATATGGTTGCTGCACGTTTTAAAACATTCGTTTAGAAAGGACTGGGATAATGAGTAGTAACTTTCTGGAAGAAGACGACGATGATTTTCTTCTTGCAGCTGTATCTTTTTTTTTAGTTTCATTTTAGAGTTTCATTTCTGAGTATTCTTTGAGTTTCCAGTTCAGCTTTCATTACTTTCCAAATTTTAACTCTCGCATCCTGCTAATTAAAATTGAACTTTCTTTTGGGATTCAATTTAAGTGTAGCTTTTCAGGTGGAGGAAAATGAGCATCTAAGTACCGAGCAATCTGGTTCTTCAAGACCAGGTAACATTTCGACTGAACCCTCTAAAGAGGCACTGGAAAAGTTGAAAAAATATTTTGGCCACAATTCATTTCGCCCTCTGCAGTGGCAAGTCATCAGTAATGCTTTGAAGAAACGTGATCAACTCGTTGTTATCTCTACAGGTTAGTTATATTTACTTTACGTTATTGGATTTTTATATTGAACTAAAATTTCCCTTGCACAGTATTGATATAAATTATATTAAGATCTTGGTTTTGTTTTTTAGTACCGCAAAAGTTTGTTTTTTTCTTATAGGATATGGTAAAAGTGTTTGTTACCAAATGCCTTCGCTCCTCGACGGAAGTCTAACATTGGTCATTTCTCCCTTGATTTCTTTAATGAACGATCAGTTAATGAATGTGAGGTTAGAAAACAGCTTTTACTTTAAGACGGTGTAAGCTTTTGCTTATAATTGTTATATTGTTTCTGAATGACACAATTAGAGCCAATGGAGTGGAAGCAGAAGCACTTTCTGGTTCACTCTCTTCTGACGATAGGAAAGATATCTCAAGGAGGTGCGATAGCGGGGAGATACGCATTCTATATGTAACGCCTGAATTTATTATAAATAACGAATACCTGTTACGGAAATTGAAATCGAGTAACTTTTTAGTTTCATTGTCAGTTCTAATTCAGGACTGGTTCGGTCTCATGTTGATTTTTTTTTGTGTCTTAATTTGTTGGAAAATTAGTGATTTCATTTTCTTGTTTACTTGTATTTATCACGTAAAGGGGTTGGACAGGCATGTGGTTTACAGTTTCTAGACTTGCTGTCCAGTAAATTTTACGCTTTTTATTTAGAAATTGGTTTAATTGCTATTGATGAAGCTCACTGCGTGTCTCAGTGGGGCCACGAATTTCGCTCCAGTTATCGAAAACTTGCTCTTATTCGGAAAGTTCTCAGTGGAACTCCTGTAATGGCGCTGACTGCCACGGCCCCACCAGCTGTCAAAAAAGACATTATATCTAGTTTAGAGCTACAGAATCCTGCTCTAGTTTGTTCAAGTTTGGATCGGTATGGTTTTAGAACCTTGACCTTCCACTTTCTGAAGTGAAACTTTGTTGTTTTGCTGGCTCAAACTCTATTTTTTTTAGCACAAATTTATATTTCGATGTTAGAACCCCTACTAGCCTTCAAGCGCTCGACGAGCTGATAGTGGAAGGAAAAAGTAAGCTCGAGAGAAATTTTGGTGGTTCGACTATCATATATTGCCCAACTCGTTCTACAGTCATGGAGGTTTCCGACTACCTTCGAGGTTCGACTCACTCCTTTCATTCTTTAAATTACCCTTAGTTCTCAATTTTTTCTTTTCAAGAGCAAGGTGTAAAGTGTGTTGCTTATCATGCGGGGATGAGTAATTCGGCCAGAGAAAAAGCTCATGAAAATTTCTGCAAAGACAAAGTTGCAACAATTGTGGCCACCGTTGCTTTTGGTATGGGGATAGATAAACCTGATGTTCGTTTAGTCATTCATTATGGAGGTAAATTTTAACCGCTCTCTTATACTTAAGTTTTTTACGTTGTTTCAAACGCTTTACGAACGAGTCTCGAGTCTCTTTATAAAGTTTTTTGATTGCTGTCTAGCTAAAAAACAAAGTCTTTGACAAATATTTGTTGAAATTGATTTCATCTGTTTAGCTCCGAGGAATATAGAAAGCTTTTATCAAGAAGTCGGGCGAGCCGGCAGAGATGGCCTTTCTAGTAGATGCATAGTTTTTTATACGGAAAAAGAATTAGCCGCTAACAGGTGGGGCAAGGAATTAGAAGTCTAAAGGAAAATGATTTTGTGTTAGTAAATAGCAGCGATTCATAGTAAGAAAACCACGAGCAAATTAAAACAAGGATTTTTTATTTGTTTTATTTCTACATACTACGCTTGGTACAATACTAGTATTTATAATTTTAGGTCACGCCTGATGTCAGATCCAAATATGACGGATGCGTATAAATCACATTCAATGGATCTCCAAAGAGCAATGGAAAAACTACTTGTAACAAAGTGCTGCAGACGCTTGTAAGTTTGGTTTATGATTTATGTAACCCGTTTTCTTATTGAGATGTCAGGATGTTTTAGTTGGAATAAATTCTTATTCCTTCTTTTAGGACTGGCTTTTATTTCTGTCTATGTGTTGCATTACTGTCACCGATTGATTCAGATATTTATATTATAGTACATTTTTTGGTTTATATTACAATGAGGGATTTTTAATGGTACAGAGCGATTTTAACACATCTTGACCCGTCGGTAAAAAAAGGCGAGGTCAGGCCGGGGTGTTGTGATTTTTGCGACGAGCATTTAAATGGCGAAGTTCCGAGTTCTTTGTCCCAAATTAATTGCCATACTGAAGCTGAAATGGTATTTAAGACTGTTCGAGATGTTTTCCAGGGCATGAGTGGGGCTGGTAAAATTGTCGATTTCTTGAAAGGGGTATGTTTAAAAAGTTATAGTCACTTAGTTTGTGAATACTTTTCTAAGACGTTTATCTGGTTGAATTTTTTAGAAAGCTACTGTGCCTACGTATAAACAGAATCACAGTTTATATGGTGCTGGTAAAAAAAGAAGTGAGGTATTTTGGAAAGAACTTTGCCGACTGCTTCGCCTGGGGGGTTATTTTCATGAAGTGAAGAGCAATTTCAATAAGTATGCTTATATGCTGTCACTGTCAAAAAAAGCTGAAATGTGGTTGGCGAGTGGAAAAAAGGTTAGATTTAGTGATATTTTATTGTGTTCTTGACAGTAGGTAATAGTAGTTAATTGAAGGAGTTAATGCTCGACTCGAGTCCGTTGCTTCTTGACCGTGTGGCAGTGAAGGAGGGAGGAAAAACGAAATACGTGTCGATTCCAGCATCTGACGAAAAGCGCCCTTCAAAGTCAGCTTCGTATTTGCTTTGAAATTTAGAGTCACTGTGATTTCGTAAGAGTAGCTTTAAGAAGCTGTTTTTTCAGATTGTTGGGCAGCAAGAAGCAGCGACAGTGGAGAAGTTGTGAAGAATACGATAACCTTTCAGTACTGTCGGGAGAAATCTATCCTGTGAGTTTTTTCTATTACAATGTACTTTAAAGTAGAGGGGCAGTTGTGTAATTGTGACTTTCTTTGTACTATTTGCATTCAAGCAAAATACGAGTGAGGAGGCAATTTTTTAGAGAGAGTTGGAAAAAGAATTGATTGATTTGAGAATGGATTTAGCTACAGAACAAGATGCAGGTGCATACGCAATTGCGACTAATAAGTGCCTTCAGCAGTTAGCAATCGTTCGACCTTCATGGTATTTTCTTCTGATTATACTTCTTTGGGATGTATGTCGTTCTTATCAATGCTCTTTAAAAGCACCATTGTTTAAGCATGTTTTAATAGAGTTTGGCCGCCTTATGATAAAGCATCTTTAGTCTTGAAAGCTTGACAATGATTAGTGAGATGCCAGAGGAGAAACGCAAGAAATATGGACCAAGATTGGTTGAACTTTGCGTAAATTTTTCCAAATCTCATGGACTTCCTATGGACTGCACAATTGATACGGAGGTGAGTTATGGTGGAAATTATAATTGTCACGCCCTAAGTAACTATTCGTAAAAGTTAATTTGTGTCTTTCTGCGATTTTCATAACTGTTGTCCTTCAGTTTCCACCGGAATTGAGAACTGCCGTGAGTCGCTTATCCGAATCTCATGCTGAAATTTACCGTCTACATGTGAAAGGGAAATATGGCTCTGTAACTTTTTTTAATTGAAATTCCTGTTATTGGTTAAATCTTGTATCACTAATCTACTGTCTTCTTCGTTTTTTCGTTATTTTCTGCTTTTTACAGCTGGACCTAGCCACAATGCGCGGTCTTAGCGAAAGTACTATTATGAACTATTTTGCTGGCTTTGTCAGGGATGGTCTGCCACTACATATGCGTGTATTAAATATTACACCGGGTTTAATACAGACGGTCCTGAAAAGCATTCGAGAAAATGGATCAGGTTTCATTTTTGGTACTTATGCTGTTGAAAACATTTTCAGAAATGCTTTTTGGAAGCGATATTACAATACTTTCTGCCTAGCCCTTAATTACATACTGGTTTTTGCAGAAATTGCGCGGCTAAAACCAATAATGGAACAGTTACCTGAGGGCACTATTGACTACAATCGCCTAAAGATAATTTTTGCCCTTTTGGAGTATGAGTACGGAATTATTGAGACTGAGGACTCTGGAAAACAAGAAGAAACTTTGAAGGATAACGGATCAGCGAAAGACTCACAAAGTAAAAGATCAGTGCCAGGCTGGATGACGAAGAACGGTAAAAATAATAAAATAGGACCTCCAGCCCCGAAACGGAGTAGGTCCAGCTTATTCAGATGAAAGTAGTTATTTGATTTTGATCTCACTATAACTCTATATACAGCAATATGTGTGGTCCAACCTTTTGACAGTATTTAAGTATTATACACCGGTAATTTCTATTATTCATTTTTTTAAATTAAATAAAACTTTTGACTTTCGTCGTAAATTGGTCGGAAATGGACGTCGTTTATTTTAAAGCATAGTTTGAAGTACTTCAGTGGAAACAAGAATTTTAGGAAACCATTAGAAACTTTATTCAAGGTCTCGAATTCACTGTTTCTTACGTCATATAACAACAAAGTATAAGAAAAATGTGACTTATTAGGAAATGTGCACTTGAGTAGATGAAAATTGCTTGTCGGAGTTGCTTGTTCCTCAAAGCTGTAACTCCCGTTTTTTTCTCTTTCTCTTGTTTGCGGTTTGTGGAAATTCTCAAACTGAACTTTCTAGTGCAATTTTGAAGCTATCTTTTCGAGACTGCTTAGCATTCCGGTAGGGACTGAAGGCAAAGGTGATGTGGTACTGGCTAGAAGATAAAAGAAGAAGATACTGAGGTAAGCAAGTTGTGGAAATCAAAACAGCACAAATATTTGGCAATTTTTAAGGCAGTCCACATGCTTTCTAAAAATAGCCATTATAGTGAGATCTAGTTTATCCTAAAAATATTAAGCCAAGTTTTAGTGGTCTCGACTGTCAGGATGGTATGAATTGAGGTGGCCACTTTACAGGTAAGACTACATCAGTTTTGAGGGAAGAAAAAGAATCGGTTTAAACAGATCCTGTTCTTCTTAGCCGTGATTTCGCGGCACAAAAGATCATTGAGAACCGGTCAAGACTGGTCATTCATCTCCTCCAATCTATCAGTGATGACGCAATATGGATTCCAGGCATCAGTGTTCGCAGTTTTGTCTGTGAGCTTGTTATTAAAAGCTTACACTCCTAAAGAAAGTATCTGAGGATTAAATAGTGTAAGGGAAAAGAATGTTTTTCAAACGAACTAAAGGTTTAATAAACCGTTAGTTCGTCGGTAAGATACTGTTTGTTCAGTACTAATCGTTGGGTACTCAACTGAGGGAGTAAAAACCGTCGGGACGAGCGACACTAAAAATGCTTCAATATTAGCCACGTGTAGTTTGAGCGGTGTCAGGAGTTTTTAAAGGAAGTAGTTTATTAATCTGCTGTT